TGCCCCAGCCAGGGGGCCCAGAGTGCCAGCATTGTCCACGGAAGCCCCCAGGAAGAGAGCAAAATCACAGCGGGCCCCAGCCTCAGCCAGCTGCACGACAAGAAGCAGTGGGTGCTGCGGTGGGACCAGTCCTGCCACCAGCAACGAGCCCGCTGTGGACAGCGAGCCCACCATGGATGTGAGCCCACCATGGATGTGAGCCCACCATGGGCAGTGAGCCCACCATGGGCAGTGAGCCCACCATGGATTTGAGCCCGCCATGGATGTGAGCCCGCCATGGATGTGAGCCCACCACGGATGTGAGCCCACCATGGATGTGAGCCCACCGTGGACAGCGAGCCCACCACGGATGTGAGCCCACTGTGGACAGTGAGCCCACCATGGATGTGAGCCTGCCATGGGCAGTGAGCCCACCATGGATGTGAGCCCACCATGGGCAGTGAGCCCACCATGGATGTGAGCCCACCATGGATGTGAGCCCACCACGGATGTGAGCCCACCATGGATGTGAGCCTGCCATGGATGTGAGCCCACCATGGCTCTTACAGGAGGGGATGGGAGCACCAGGCTGGCAGCAGCTCCTCACCTTCTGTGCCAAGGCGAAAGAGGTGGCATCGGTGACAGCAGGGCTGGTGTTGGGCATGGCACACACCATGGTGACACCCCCGGCCAGGGCAGCTGCTGTGCCTGATGCAAAGTCCTCCTTGTGGGTGCCACCCGGCTCACGGAGGTGCACGTGGACATCGATCAGGCCTGGGGAGTGTCAGTGTCAGCACTGGCAGCTGCTGGCCACAGGGACACGAGGGACAAGGCCATCCCCCCAGTGCAGCATGGAAACATCTCTGCAGCACCTCCAGATGTGCCCAGCCCAGCTCCCAGCACTGTGCCCATTCTTGTGCTGTGCCCTGGGAACACTGAACACCCACCTGGCAGACGGATGAGCTTCTGGGAGGTCATGCAGTCCACGTGCATCTTCATTGGGGGCGCTGCCCCAATCTGGCCCAGTGCCTGCAGAAAGAGCAGCCGTGAGGCAGGACCAGGGGCAGGAGCCAGAGGATGATGCCTGTCTGAGATGCCCCCCAAAACCAACCCCTGCACAGCGGCACCCACACACAGAGCCTGCCCCACAGCACCCACAGCAGGGCTTCTGCAGCCCTGCTCTGCTCCCTTTGCTCGCACCCGCAGTCCCCAGGCGCCCCAGCCCACCTCGACGAAGAGCTTTGTGCACTTGATGTCGATGATGAGGGGCACGGAGTAGTCGACGGCCAGGCGCCGGGTGCGGTAGCCCTTGGTGACGAAGGAGGAGAGGCGGCGGCCGCCCGAGTTGCGCATGGACAGGTTAATGACCATCTCAAAGTGGTTCTCGGCCAGGTAGTCCAGGATGCTGCGCTGGCTCTCCCGGGCACCGGCCTCGCTGCTGTCAGCCTCCTCGAAGTGCCAATCCACGGCCTTCACCTGCGGGCAGCGACCCCGTCAGGGCCCTGCAGCGCCCCGGCAGTGACCGGCCCTGCAGGGAGGCCCCAGCCCTGACCTTGATGCCGTGCTCGGTGTAGAAGTCGGCGGTGCCAAGGCTGGCATAGAGGTTGTAGCCGAGGCTCTCCAGCGTCCGCACCGTGGGCAGCAGCTCGCTCTTGTTCTGGAACCAAGCGGGGCCGGTCAGAGGGCACAGAGGGACCCCCGGCCTCGCAGCAGCCTGACCCCACGCACCTTGTAGCTGCCGATGGTCAGCAGAATGTTCTTCTTGGGGATCTTGAAGCCGGTGCTGAGCATGGCCTTCAGGTACGCCTCGCAGCGGTTCTCCCCGAAGCAGGCAACCTCGCCCGTGCTCGTCATCTCCACACCCAGCACCACGTCAGCGCCCGCCAGGCG